CACAGCCTAGATATGCAAACTTCACGTACATACCTAGGCTTACTAGAATATGTGGACTGCTTCATACTTACATTTAAAGCAGTCTTCATGTAACATTCAAATTTTAGTGCAATGTAGGATATGTGCACCATTTGATGTCCCATCCAGATTCATATGCCAACTACTAAAGCTCAGCTGTAACTACAAACCCTGTGAAGGTATGGCATTAAAACATATGCTTGTTGCCATATAAGGTACACTAAGGTCCAAAGTAATAACCTAGCAGTAAAATTTCATTTCCTGTTAAACAGTAAAGATTTTTCTCTGGACTGTTCAAATACCTGACATTAAATCAGTGATCATAATGATGTGCTTGGATATGAAAAACTAAAGATCATTTAGTAAGCTTCCTATTTGACTAGGTAAGTTACTATCTCTCAGATTAATCCATTACATAGGTTTGTTGGAAGAATTACTTTGTGTACTCTCAGGGAACAGCTGGATGCAAATAAATACTGATGCAGGCCCTTCTTTTAAAAAATAATAATAATTTGATCATTCCCGTAAGTCTAATTCACATGGAAAGGGTTATCAATATTTTATGAACTGATGAAACACAACAAGCATATACAATAGGAACTTGAAGAAAAAGCAGAGAAAACATAAGCATGAAACAATATCTCAAATAACAAATAACAGAGTTTAGAAAAAATAAAGAATGCACTCCTTTAACTGACCAACAACCACAGCTAGGAAAGGTGTAAGATGTTCCTATGAAGTTTGTTTCTGTTAGGTATCCTTTGATCACATCTATCCTTTGCAACAGAGCTCAGAAACATTAAACAGAAAGAGATTGGAAAGTTGCTGTGGCACAACTGGGCAGCATACAAATGTTTTAAATAAATAACACAAAAGAACAACTGGTCCTCTCCGAAGTGCTTGTACTAATCCAAAATGCTTGTACTAACATTTAAAGCCAGAAAAGGCCTGGGAACAGATATCTGAAGGAAGCTTCTTCCCATGTGTACCTACTTGGACCTAAAGATCATCTTCTGAGGTCCTTCTTAGGAACCCCCTCCAAGGGAAGTAAGCAGGGTAGCAACCAGAAGAAGGGTCTTTTTGGTTGTGGCGCCCCATATATGGAATCAGCTCTCCAAAGAGGTATGCCTTATGCCTACTCTTTTCTCCTTCTGGCACCAGGTGAAACCCTTTTTTATTCCCTAGTTAACTGTTAAACTTTAATTTAATATTGTATTTTCTATCATTACTGTGCCTGTATGGCAGTGGTGGCCTTGTTGGATTGTCTTATTGTGCTGGTGTTTTTAATGACAATGGATTTTTAGTGATTTTATTGGTTTTACTGTTTTGTTGTATTTTGTCTGCTTTGTGTATTTGACTTTGTTGAGTGGGATAAAAGTTACTTAATAAACAAACACAATAATAAAATATATTATTTACACAAGCTACCCCTTTGATTCAGAATAATCTACCAAATAAATAGGTAGCACCTATTCATTTGCATGGTATGTCCAACAACAGGGCCACTCACATGTATTAACTGAAGCACACTAACTACTCCTGTTAGACAGTCAGTCAATAATGAGTGACACAACCCATCAGAAAAAAAGAAAAGTAATAAACAGTAACACAGAACAGCCACATGTGTGGACCTTAAAGTGAATGGAAACACAGGAAGGCCATTAAGGCATGTGCACATTAGTTCAAATTATTGCAACTTGAATTATCTCATCTTAGTTTTCACAAACATCATTATAACATTTGAAGCCATTACTCCCAGTGGTGATTTTCTGTTTAAAGAAACAAAAGCAATAAGCTTCTTTTGCTTATACACATGAAGCAGAGGTGATTACGACACCCACACAGTACATGTTCTAAGCCTCAGGCTAGGTCACATGCTGGAAAATTAACGAAGGCAGGAGCAAACAGAACTGTTGCTCTGAAAGGCCATTTGGGATGGCTTAAGGCTGAAATACTAAACGCAGATACGTGAAATCAATGAGCCTTACATGCATTTAAATCAGGAATACAAGAGCCCCCAGCATCCATATTATAGATCCAGAAAATTTGGGACTCTTCAGTGTTAATTAATATTTCTTACATTAGTTCTCTCAGCCTTAGGAAGTATGAAAAACATTTCCAAGCAAAACCAGTTTGGGAGAGAATGATCTCCCAGATTGTCTGAGCAATTCTGAAGGCTGGACTCATCAGCCGAGTTCACTTTCCTTTATAGTCACATGATCATTGGGATTTGTACTTCTCTTTGCACCTCTGACTACTTTGGAAACACACACACACACCCCCCCCCTTAACGAATAAGCAGAATGCCATACCACCATACTGACTGCAAATAAAGCCTTACTCAAGTTTCTAATAATATGCATTAACTATAAAGAGCAGCATTAAATTTTCACAGGATCTGACAGCCCTGGTTGGCTCTGACAGCCCATGGTTTGCCATGGGCTAGCTTGGCACTACTGAGGCATGTCTTAGCATTCAATAACACTGAAAACTTTTAATACAGTGAGAAGGACTAGAGCGTTCATCTTCTAAATATCCTGAAAAGACACACATATGAGGGCTCAGTCACATGATCAGAAGAGAGTATTTTCCTCCTGTAAGTGTCTCATTTTTATTTATTTATTTTTCGATTCCTGCCTTTTTCTACAAAGGGCTCAAGGCAGCTTACATCTCCTCCTCCATCTTATCCTCACAACAACAACCCTGTGAGGTAGGCTGGGCTGAGAGTCTGTGACTGGCCCAATGTCACCCAGTTGGCTCCATGGCCAAGCAGGGACTAGAACCCAGATCACCTGAGTCCCAGTCCCATGCTCTTAACCACTACACCACACTGGCTCTCATGGCAGCACATCCCACCACAGGAAGCTTCCTGAGCCTGTTCCAGAGCCTGAATCATCTTGCCCACCTTTTCAGGATGTCAGTTGGAAGATCAGACCTGCTACCTGATTCCCCCTCCTTTGGGATCAATTAGAGAAGGTATAACTGATTTGTGAAGGCAAATGCCTTGCTGAGAAGAGGCCAACCTTGTTGTCTACGTGCTGTTTTAAAGGGACTGCAGTCCATTTCACTCATATGGTCAATAGCAGAAAAGAGAACCTAAAATCAAGTTTGTCTTCAGTTCTCTTGTGTCCAACTAAAGGCCTTTAGATTGTCTTGCTCCAAAGACAAACTGCCAAAGTTTGACTAAAGCCAACATGGTGAGTCTAAACAGCTGCAAAATGTCCCTTTCCTTCCCTGTGATAATCAGATTGCAAGAAGTATTATAGTTGGAGTTTTAAAGCAAGACAATATTAATGCAGTGTTTTCGAGGCTTCCAGGGCCTTCACAAAAAATAATGTAGGCAAGTACAGCAAGAAAGTTCTGTCAGAAGTTATGTCACAGGTGTCTATGACAGTCTCACAACATAATTTGAAAAAAGCAAGAGATCTGATGGAAGAATTAAATTTCTTCCAGGCATCAAATATTATGGTCTGTGTGCTGGGAAAATGAAAGAGCTCTTTTGCTGAAGGGGTGTTTGCTCCACAATGAAAGATCACGAGCAAAGAGAGCAGAGATGAGGATTAGCTACTTCTAGTTCTAGTTGAAACAGTTAGATGACCTTGCCTTCTGAGAAGCAAATCATAAGCAGATGGTATTCTACTTCACAACGGGACTAGGAGAAACAGGCAAGAGAGAGAGGAACAAAAGAATGAATTTGATGAAATAAACTCTCTACATGGATAACCAAGGTTTGCAGTGTGTTCACTCTGCAGCTTTGGCCAATAACTCTTGTCTTAGGGTTCATAGTCAGGAAAAAAAAGGAAAAAAACCCCATGGATTCAAATTTATCTATAAAATAAACTCTGTGCAGTTTGCATAAGCTGTTCTAGCACCACAGATGAGGCAATTGAAAAGTAGCTGCAGAATTGTACTTGGTGACATCTGACTATCATCGGTACCTTTTAAGTCCACTTCTGCACTGCTCATCAACAGGGTCTCTAGAGGAGAGAACAAGCAGCTCTATGCCTTCAACACATGCGTATAAGCAAAGCAAAGACTGACTTAAGTAGGGGTTCAGGACATGGTAATTACCCAAGGCATCCTTTGAGAGCAATTATGCTAAACCCCACATCATATGCCATGTTTTTAGATATAAATCTAGGATTTGTCTTCTGTTAACACAGAAGTTGCTTCTGTCGAGTTTTCAAAGACCTCCTGAAACACTTTAGCTCACCAGTTCACTTGTACATGTCTTCATCTGGATCCATTTCATGACACATGCACTTAAAGAGATATACATGCACACAGACACACATTTACTATTTAAATCAAATTATTTCTAAAAATACAGCAATAATAAAATGCAGAAAAATCCTACAGCCTTAAAAAGAAATATATAGCCACAGTCTGCAGGTGCCAGGCAGGTCTGCTCCTGAGTAACGTACAGAACAGCTTTCAGACTGCTTGTGGGATCATGTGGGTGGGTGGGTGCCATCCTGTTGTGTGAATAGATGGACCCTTCCTCTGATACAGCCAGGCTCTTCTTAGGTTCTAAACATGCAGAAGAAAATGCCAACAAGCAGCAGTGGGGACAAGACGACTCAACCTATTTTTCTTGGGTTTTCTGAAATGGGGCAGTCTTTTGTTTAACTAACATGCTATGTCAACAATCAAAATGATTATGCTGTAACATGAAGGGAACTTTCCCTTCCCTGCACATGCTCTTTCCACTCATGCTTAGCAGCAAAGTGGGATGGGACCTTTCGTTGCAGTGCAGAGGAAGTTGAAAGTAACATAACTGAAGGCAGCTGTGTACCATTGCCACACTTCCCTTCCTTCCCTTCGCAGGCTTGACAGATCTCTCTCCTACCGCACGTCCTTTGCACGATCCGCGCAACAGACTTTATCGCTTTGCAGGCAGGGGAAACCACGTGAAAATACTGGCAATGCCTTGCGGCGGAGGCATGAAGGCTCCACGTCCCGCTCGCATGCGACCTGCTCACCTGGTCTCCTGGTTACTGAATTTCTTCGTCACGACTTTCCCCAGATCCAGCCCCAGCCGATCGGCCACGCGCTGGGACAGATCCTGGTGGGAGCTGCCGCTGAAGAGCACGATGTTGGGCATGGCGAGGCTGCGGCAAGAGAGACGACGGAGGAGGAAGCCCGGGCCGAGCTGGAGCTGGGGAGAGGGAACCGGGCTGGCGGCAAGAAGGAGGGAAGGAGGATGGGCGCGAGCGAGGAGCGAGCGGACGGACAGGCGCCGCAGGCAGGTCAAATAGCTGCGCTCGCAGCCCCTTCCTGAGGCCCCGCCCCGTCCTTCCAGAAGCGCGCGCTATACGCCCACAGTCTCTCTTTGCCCGCCCCTCTGAGCAAGAGTCGCTGCCTAACAGGGTGAAGGGGAGTTACGTCATCCGCGGGGGTAATTCGGTTTCCATGAGCCAGTGGAGGAGGCGGCGGCAGGCGGCATGGAACCTAGAGGTAGAAAGGGAAGCGGACAAAACTTCCCGAGGAACGAGGCTATCTGGCGTGCAGAAACCGACGCCGCGGGGCAACGTCCCGCGTTATGCTTTGCAGAAACAATACGGGGCTTGGTGGAAATCCGGTATCCGATTGCACTGGGCGTTCGGGAGGAAAGCTTTGAACGGAAGGAGCGCTGCACAAGCTGCATAGCGCGGAATTACTTTAAGCTTTCTATCTCTATGGTGGGGGAGCGTAGGATTGAAAGGCGTTCAATGAGGCAGAGGGCGAGAAGACGAGACGGGAGACGCAGCCGTGGCCGTAAAGAGGCGCCCAAGGAATGGTGGGCTGGTAGAAAGGCGCGAGAAAAATGCATTCCCACGTTACCCAGCTTCCTTTGACTGCATCCATTGAACCGCGGGGTATTTGTCCACAACTGCGTGACTGCAGCGTGTCCTAACACATCTGGAGACTACCGGGTTGGGGAAAGTTACGTAGGATTCCGAGTTGCCATCTCAAACCGTTTGATGGGCTGTTTATGTTTAAGAGAATGTGTAAATACCGAGAAATCATCAAATGCAGAAAATTGGAACGTTTTGATCATATAGTAAGAAACACAAAGCTATAGATTGTCGCAGCTGACTATTCAGGGACAAAATACAGGGGAAAAGAAGTGTAGGAAAAAAACTTCTGGCTGAAAACCTTTAGAGCATGGGTCTAGTTTGCTTTAGAGCAAACTGTGGCCCACAGTGGTCATTTACCCAGTCCAGAGACTAGCAGAGAGACTAGCAGAGAGCCGGCACATGTGCCAAACTGTAACAGCTCCCTTCAACTGCGTGTGCACTAGCTCCTATGGCCTGCATGCGTTGGCTCTGAATACAGAGTGGGATATGGAGCAGGAAATACAGAAGAGAGGAGGGCAGTGGGAAGAGAGAGAGAAATGAAGACTCTAAAAGAGATAGAAGGTAATTAAAATATAACTTTTTAATCTCTTTGTAATTATGTGAGCCACATCCCCAGGCTACGGGCCTTCTCTGAGCAAGCTGCCACCGCCGTCTAGCAGCGGCCGTGCCTCTTCCCCCTGCAGTGGGGAGAGGTGGGGGGCACCCTGCTTGGCCAGCCGCAGCCCGGTCCCTTGCTTCCCTTCCCCTTGCCTCGGAAAGCAGCCATTCCCCACCTCCTTGCAGCCTTCTCTCAGCTGGGGGAGCTGCCCCACGCTCTGGCTCTCTGGCCTCCCACTCCCTCTCCCGGGGCCTGGCAAGCGCCTGCAAGGGGACCTTCCTCCAGCTCGGAAGCAGAGTGGCAGTGAGCAGCCGGGATGGCCTTGACCAAGGCGAGCATGCCCTCGTGGCTCCCCCTCGTGTTGCGCTCCTCCTTCCAGCAGGCGGCATGACGTCATCTTGGGCTTCTGCTGCAGCCTGAGCGAGTGGAGCAAACATTTTTAAATGTTTAATTAATTTTTAAATTTATTTTAATTTTAATTATTTAATGTGCAGTGTGCATAGGAATTTGCTCTTATTTTTTTCAAACTATAGTCCAGCCCCCAACAGTCTGAGGGACAGTGAACTGGCCCCCTGTTTAAAAAGTTTGAGAATCCCTGCTTTAGGCAATGGGTTGGTGAAATTTGCTGTCACATAATGTTGTGATGGCCACCAATCTGGATGGCTATAAAATGGGATTAGATGGATAAATGAGGGAGGATGCATTCAGTGGCCACCAGCCTCGCTGGCTATGTGCTATCTGCTTTACCAGGGCCGGCATGCCTGCATACACCTATTGCTGAGGAACTTGGGCAGGAGAAGATCTTGCATCCATTCTGCTTGAGTGATCTTGCGGCCAGCTGGTTTGCCACCATGTGTATGAAGTGCTAGACTATATGCACCTTTAGTATGATCTAGCATGGCTTTTCTTATGTACTACTACAATATTATTATTGTATAGATTGATTACATCTAAAGACAGTCTACTTGTGATGATGGCCAGACACCAGAAGGAGTGAAATGAGAAGAATTCACTCAAGTTCAGGAGCATTGTAAATGGGAACACTTTGTTATGACCATCAAAGATGTCATGAAACCATGGCAAGCTTTCTACTCAGTCCTTCAGAGCTATGTTTTCCGTTGCATGGAAACAACCAGCCCTTTGTGGGTCCAATTAAAATGGGAAGGCTTTGATGTCGAAAGTGTGTAATATATGCAAACTGAAAGCACTAGATAGCAAGTTAAACTACAATCAGATTGCATTAGTTCAGGCTCACATTCTGCTTAGTAGGGCCAGGTCCGATTTCAACAAGAACATGAACCAAGGAGCAAATTCTGTTCCAGTGAATTCTTTGTATTCTTTGGAATGTGTTTAGCATGGGCAGAGAGGATGAGCTGTGCAGGAAGAGCTACTCAAAGACAGGATTTTCAAAAATCGCCCTCTTTTCAGTGGAACTTTAGCCATATATTAGGGTTGAGGGTCTGCACCAGGGTAGGGTTAGGGTTAGAAAAACGAGGTGTCCAGTTATGATCTTGATGGTTGGAATGTGTTAAACATGGGCAGATAGGATGAGCTGTGCAGGAAAAGCTACTCCAAGACAGGATTTTCAAAAATCGCCCTCTTTTCAGTGGAACTTTAGCCCTACATTACGGTTAAGGGTCTGCACCAGGGTAGGGTTAGGGTTAGAAAACTGAGGTATCGAGGACTGATCTTGATGGTTGCAATGTGTTTAGCATGGGCAGAGAGGATGAGCTGTGCAGGAAAAGCTACTCAAAGATAGGATTTTCAAAAATAGACCTCTTTACAGTGAAACATTAGCCCTATATTAGGTTGAAATTTTTTTAGGTTGAAATTTTTTATTTAAATAAAAACATACTACAAAAGTTACAAAAGGCACAAAAAGTGCAACGTTACAAAACTAGAAAAGTACACCATCCAATATTTACAAGGTATCAAAATGCCAAATGTACACACATTTACAGGATTCCCAAACTTTACAAATCAAATTTACAGAAAGAACGTTCTACAGACTTCTCCTTGATAGGTTCATGCCATGCGTCTCACCAACATTTTCCGTGTATGAGCGGTATACGTACATTACGTGATCGGGGCATGAGCCCCACTCAACCACGGCCACAATTTCCTCCACCAACTGGGCGGCATCCTCCCTTTTTCCTCGCGGCTCTACCAAAAAATCTCCTCTTGGACAAATTTGACTGAGCTGGCCACGTCAGCCACCTTTCGTGTCTTTATCTCTCTTTGGCGTTGGAGCGACAGCGCCAACAGAACGTACAGATTAATCAGCCTAATCGTGGACCACGGTACAGTCCAGTACGTCTTGGGAGCCGTGGTCTCTCTCCACCGCCGCTTCCTGGGCACACTCCTCCTGGGTCCCTTCAATGGAGGAGTGGGTTCTGTGTCAGACACGACCGATTCCCAGTCCTGGGAGCCCAGGTCCGGCCAGTCCAATGCTTCAGACACCACCTTCCACATGGCACGTGCCGCAGGGCAATCGCTGACAAAGTGCCTCACTGTCTCCTTTTGCGCTGTCCCACTTGCGACAGCCCCGCTCTTACACTGCAGTCTGGGGCAGGCCTGCGCCCACTCGGGAAGCCAGGGTCTGGTCCGTTGCAGGTCATACACCTGATGATACAGCATCCACCTGATGTCCCACAGCTGGAACGGAACCCTCCTGTCGTGAAAATATTCTATCGGGTAAGTCTGTTCCCTCAAGTATCGAGAGAGGTTTTCCCTCCTCACATTCTTGACGACCTGCGGTCTGAAATAGGCCACCTCTAGCAGCTCTCTATACACCACTCGTTTGATACTCCACAGGTCCCCCTGGCTAGTACCAAACCATTCTGCATGGACTTTATGCTGCTTGATGAAGCTGTAGAGCTCCCTCAGATATTCGGGCCCCGTGCACCGCATTGTGGCCGAGATGGCAAAGTCGAGGCAGTGCTCCCCACACCAGGTTTCCACCCACGGTTTACCCACCCAGTGCTACGCAAACAGGACCACCCACATGTGAGGTTGGTCCCCCCCCCTCCTCCCATTGAGCGTATTTACCAAAGTTGTAACTCAGGAAGGTGGTGAACATCCTCAGATGGAGAGCCGGGAGGTGCAAACCCGCCTGGTCTATCTGTCTATAGGCCACCGCCCTCGCCAGAGGGAAGGTGGCCATTCCCCAGAGGAATTTGAAGAGCTCCTTCTCCAGTTCGTTCATCACGGCTCCCGGAGGGGGGTAGACCACCGCTATGTTATGCGCTACCGGCAACACGTATGTGCGTACATAAACCACCTTTTGATACACGGTCAGTTGCCACTTCCTCCACATCCCTATTTTCTCCTTAAACTTTTCAAGCCAAGCGAACCAGTTCCTTTTCCACCCTTCCTCGGCTATGGAATAGTAAATCCCCAGAATCTTCACCTCCTCTACCTTCTGCTCATTCCCGCCCTCCCGCTCTTTGTCTGTTTCCATGGGAGCTATCTTAAGCTGCTCGTCCTCGGGGTCAAAAGAAATAAGGTAACTTTTCTTCCTGTTTATCTGAGAACCCGAGGCACGTGCGTACATATCAAAGATCCGCTGCACTCTCCTGACCTCTCTGTCGTCATTCAGGAGCAGCGAGATGTCATCAGCATGGGCCATGAACTTGATCCGTATGGGAGCACCGGTAGGAAGGGCCGAACGGATCCCTGCTATCCCCTCCTCGAGCTGTACGCGGCACAGGACAGCGTCCAGAGCCAATACGTAGAGGAGTGGGCTCAACGGACACCCCTGCCTTACTCCTGATTGTAAATCGATGCGACTTTCCCTGTGCCCATTAATCTGGGGGGTGAC